TGGAAAACTCGTTTTATATATATATATATATATATATATATATATATATATATATCGTTGATTGAGTATGCATTTGTTATCCCAAGATCGTTAACATATATACTAAATCGGTTGTTTTTTAATATTTACACCAAATAATATATAACTGTATCGTGTATTTTACATGGATACCTCCTCCTAATATAAGTACGTATGCTCTGTATATATATATGTCCTAATATCTCTAGGTATAAAATATATATCTCGTCATTCTACTAATAATTGAGTCCATAACCAAATATACGCAAACCAAATAAAAAAACACAATATTAGAATATATTTATTTATGGTTAAATGTTGGTTTAGTTTAATTTGGTTTGGTTTAGTTGGTTAGGATTTGTGTAAAGGGTTTGGTGTTTCTTTCTTTTCTCCAATTGTATTTAAGGCACATGTTTCATTTTGATCAATATACAACAGAAAATTCCCAATGGTTTTAATCTAATGGTTTTAATATTGCTTAAGATTAGATAGTACAATTGAATTAATTAAAGGCACTTTGATGATAAGATAAGAGATGTACCGATCTTAATCCTAATAAATCCTCAAGCAACTTGGGAGTATTATATATATATATATATAAGTGTATCAACTTTATATATTGTATACTATAAAACTAGTTTAACAGTGAATAAGGGCGTATATAACATACTAGTACACCAAATTTTAAGTAAAAATTTCCACCTATTTCATTATAATTTGACATGAAAACTCAAAACAAACTAAGCCTATTAATTCCAAAAATAAATTAATATAAATTTAATTTTATATGAAAAGATCATCGATCTTTAAAAAATTCAAACAAAATTCGCATTCTTAGGTTATTTTGAACATAATTATTTTTCAGTTTTTATTAATTACTAGAATTTAGTTTATAAATTATAAAATCAAACTCTAAATTCTACAAATATTATAAAATCGAAGGCGATTAAGTGATTAAACTATAGATCTAATTATTATTATTGTTTATCTATAATTTTTCATTCAGCATTAAAAATATTAAAATAAAATATGTAATAGTTATATTTCTTAAAAAACATTTAGGTATTTAGAAAACGGCTTGATATTTTAGAAAAATATTAATTACATAAACTTCAGTGGATGATGCAATCGCGTGACGTAATCAATAATAACAAACTATCCGAGTTCACGTTATGCTTACCGATATGATATTTTATTAATAAGAGCAGAAAAAAACAACATATTAGTTCAAAATATATATATATTTTTTTTTATAAAGTAAATAAAAAAATACACACTCCCTGACTAACGTGTATGGGTTATCTATTAGGAAAACGAGGAATATCTAATTTGGGGTGGAGGCCAATGCCACGTGGTGACAGAGTGAGGGCCCACATCAGACATGTCCGAAAGCGAACTGGAGATTCTGGCATCTACTTTCTTCGCTGTCGTATTTATCAGCTTCTTTTTAGGGAGTGTTCAGAGTCTACACGTCGCTTCGTATTATTATTTTTTGTTCTTTATTTCTGGGATAAATTTGATTTTGTCCCTTTCCTACACTCCGGAAGTTGTAGGAATATGATATGTTATTATTCAGTATTATATTTTTGGTTGTGGAATCTTTTCCTTTTACTGATATTGTTTTATCAAGAAAAAAAAAATATTATAGAATTTATATGCAAACAATTCGTGTAGAATGCGTATATTATTCGAAAGTCGTAAAAATCATATAAAAAAAATATGATTTTTTTCGATTGAAAAACCATTTTTCCATTCATACACGTCCCGTAGATGTCCATTTCAGACAATTTTTTTTTGTTTCTTCTTGTGAAAGTAAAACTATATGATATATAAAAAAAAATCGTTACTAATGGGCTTTATTGGGCCTCTTTATTGGACCACCTTATATATATATATATATATATATGTATATTAGATGTAGAAAGTATATAATAGATTAATTGAGTAGCATTGTTTTCTTCCTCCCATGGGCCTCTTTCTATTTTTGCTAGGACTCCTAGATCAACTTACATATATTTTTTTTTATATAAAGTTTATTGATATATTTTTGGAGGTTGAACAAGATCTCTCATAATCTCATTCACTATACTGCAAATCATTTCAATCTCATCGAAGTTAAATACGTAATTGGTTTTTCATCGATATATATCTTTTTACGTTTTTAGTTTGGATGTTGATTTGTTCAAGTTAAGATAAAAGGTTTCAATGAAATTTTAATTATAAGAACATAAATACATTTTTTAAATAACATATAAGGAAAAAGATATATATATATATATATATATATATATATATTATACATATAATACTTATGCATGACTGTGGATTGTATCTATAAACAGGCTTATTTTATTAGATAAATTAATTTTGTATACATGAAATAATAACAAAAAGCTTAAAAGGAAACAATGAATTCCTTGAGAAAAAATTATAGTAGAGAGAAGTGTCTTGCATTGCAACTTCTACATATTATTGTCCTCTTCAACCTCAAGCTCCATCAACCTCTCCACGACAATATCAGAAGCAACTGTCACGATCTCTGACAAGTTCCTAAATATATAGATTGATATAAAAAAAAAGAATCATAATGTCAAGATAATGAATTATAATGTTAAAAAGTATATGATTTTATGTTATTACCCCTTCATGGAATCAAACGTAAGTCCGATGGTATGTCTTGCCTCATCGAGCGCCCATCTGAATCTCTCGATAACCTCCTCGGAACATCTATCTCTATCGATCAAAATGTCAAGTTGAGACGGTTTGATGTCGTAGAAGATGGGGATAACCCTCTTCTTTGACTCCATCATCAAGGCAAGTTCGTGAAGGCAGGAATAAGATTGGCCGTAATTCGGGGAGAAAATGGCAACGGACACCTTGGAAGAGACGATAGCCCGATCGATGTGATCGAAGAGCTTGTCTCCGGGTTTGAGGCTCTTGTTGTCCAAGAATGGCCTTAGGTTTCTCCTCGAGAGGTTGTCGTAGAGCAAACAGGCTATGTTTCTCTTCGTGTCGGTCCCTCTATGGTTGATAAAAACATCGAACAAATCTTTGGGTTTGGTTTCGATATGGTTGAGCAAGTGGTTGTTTCGGTTCGCGGTTCTTGATTGCTTCAAGAAGTCGAAAACCCTAGATTTCATGCTTTCTTCTTCTTCTTCTTCTTCTTTTTATTCGAAGATGTGATGATTTGATCAGCGAAGGTGTTTATGGTGCATGTGCATGCGTATATTTATAAGGGTTTTGGAATTCTTGTGGGTGGGAACACAATAGAATAATATACAAGACTACGCATAATACATTTTGAACCGAGAGACAATGCTTACTATACTTTTGACCGTTTCAAGAATTATACTTTGGACTTCAAAATTTGGCATTTAGAGTTTCTCTAATGTAATTATTTAAATGAATCATATGGAAATCATGAAGCGATCAATGCTCATTACGTCGATACATCCTTAATTGGTGCTAAATAAAATATATCTTAAAGTAAATTATAGACAAAGTTCAATGTAGCAGAAAATTATATATATATATTGGTCATGGAAAATTACGTACCATTTCTGTGCATTATATTAAAATAAAACTTATTAAGGTGTATTTTTATCGGACAAAACTAGTTTGACTATCTCCCGTCAAACAAGTTAAGTGAAATTGTAATAGAAGTTTCTCTCACTCCTACGTGTATCGTTGCAAGACCAAGGTTTGTCCTTTTTCCCTCGCAAAAGAATATCTATACACCTTCATACATACATATATATATATATATATATATATATATATAAACGTTTGTATGATTTTTGAATAACGGTTTATGGAGGAGTCTTTATTTTTATTTTTATTTTGCTAAAAAAAGAGTCTCTAGTTCGAATGATCAATTATAACATTGTTTGTGCACAAACAAACTAGTAATAGATTATTTTTATTTTAATTATGAATTTTAAAATGTTTTTTCTCGACTGTGAACCTAGTAATTAGTTAATGCCATAATTAATGTATTTTATACGAACATTATAGTAGAAATTTAAAATAAACAAAGTACCTTCCACATGATAAAAGTATAACAAATCCATGTTTTACGAGTAAAGAAATTCATAGACAATTTCGTTTGTACTGACCTACGAGCCATAGAAAATTTCCACAAATATCACATTGAAAAGATTCGTGTCGAGAGAGAAACAAACATTTTCAGACAACAGTTGGTGACCCAATGATTGAGAGGTGACAAAGTCATCTTTAAGGTTCTGAGTTCGATTCTACTGGTGGAGAGAAAAAGACGCAATTAAGACTGATTCCGGACACAGAGAACTAAGTAGGCCGAAGGTCCAATGGACCTCCTGATTATAAAAAATATTTTAGACAACCTTGTAATTATTTTTATTTGTCGGGATTTATTTTAGAATAAGAATTTTTTTAATTAAGTTGAATCTCCGTTGGTAATTTTGATGAAACTTTATAGAAAGGAGAGGGGATATATATACATACACTCGGATAGCTCCACAACAATTGTCATTTTCAAAATTATTCTTGTATTCCAATAAATATAAATATAAATAGACGGTGTAGTTTTCTTTCATACCCATTGTGCAAGAAATAGTCAATAGGTTATTAATATATGGGAAAATTATATTAAACTATACTAATTAAACCCTACCGTAAATTTCTCTGATTTCAAATGTCAAACAAATATAAAAAAAAATCATAAAATAAAGAACAAGAAAACCCTTCAAACTTGGTAGCGACGAACTTTACTTTAGAAGTTTCTTCAATAGAAAACTGAAACTAAACACTGTTAAAAAGTTTATGACTACATGTAATCAATGCAACTTGCAATCCTTATCTCTGATGATTGCGATTTTTATATTATTTTTTTTAAAAATTTAATCTTTATCAATAAATTATGGATTTTTTTTGTCGCATTTAGAAGTGAGATGTTTCTTTTTGTAATCAAAATAATGTTAAATTTTATTTGATTTTTTTATAAAATTATTCCAGTGGAAGAAAAGAAACTACAAAGAAACAATTTCTACAATTTTTTTGATAAAATGCGATTTCAATTTCTACAATTTCTACAATTGATGTGATCGAATAATAATATCATGGCATTTGATCTAATTCTTTGCACATTTTTATGTCCATATCTTTTTGGTTGTTGAAATAAACAAATTTTTTTCTTAACCAATAAAGTCTAAGTTAGATCAAAATTGGAAAAAGAATAAAAAGAAAAATCGTAGAAAAAACGGTTTCTTGGATGAGAAGAAAGAGTATAATGTCTGATTTATTGGGTAAATGCGAATATATATTTGACGTAAATCGAAAATAAGAAACTTAATAGACAAGAATTAAATTAGTTTATTTGATTTGTATGCGTTATATATTGAGAATCCAAATTGAGATGTTTCAGGTCGACAGTTTTCGTTAGTCTTCAATATATATATATATATATATATATCTATATATATATAGATTTGATTTGTCTCGGATCTAATTGATCTGAATACTATATGAATCATCACAATTCCAAATTCTACAAATATTATAGGATTGTTAAATCATAAATCTCCAACGTAAATATATATTTCATATTAAAACTTGAATATTTTTATCGAAGTTTTTAATCACATCAAAATCCCACAAAATCTTCTAAACTTATGATTTATTATTTTACAAAGAGAGAAAGATTATTAATTCTCGATTGTTTCAGTTAAAATCATATCTAAATTATTTTTTTGGTAATTATATAACTATAATAAGCAGTGTTAAAAAAAATCACATATTTAATCAAATCGATAGATTATGGTAATCATGGGACAAAACTTTGACCGGGATCTTGAACATTTGACTTGTCAGAGACCAAATCTCATTGATGACGTGTCCGGCTCTTATTGGTTCATGGTACATGACGACCAGCTTCAGGTTAAATCCGTAGACATTGGGGCCGCCATATCTTCGGTAATTTCTCAAGACGGTGACGTTTTAACTAACTAAAAAAATTTAAAATATCAAGGATTTGATAAATATTATTCAGCTATTTTTTTTATCTTAGAAAATAATTTCAGCGTATAGTATTGTTGGACAAAAAAAAGTGGTGTCATATCTAATATTCTATATTATTATTTAAAACTTTATAGTCTAATTTGTAAAAAGATCTAATTAATAGATATGTAATTAAGTCTGAATTTAATTAATATCCAAACATTTTGTCATTTTATCTCTCTCTCTTTTTTTCTTACATAAAAGCAGTAACCATAAGCTCGCAGAGCGAGAGAGAGAGAGAGAGAGAGCATTTTCATGGCGTTGAAGCTCCTAGTTTTCACTGTCATCATCATCGATCTGATAGCATTTGGATTGGCCATTGCCGCCGAGCAGAGAAGAAATGTCGTAAGTTGCCCTTTCTCCTCTCCCCTTTTGTCGTTTTCCTGTTCTTTTAAACTTCTTCCGCATTCCTCGCGGCATTATCCATTTATCTGATATTGTCTGCGCAGGGTAAGCCTCAGGTGGACGAGGAGAAGAAGAACCAGTTCTGTGTGTACGATTCGGACATAGCAACAAGCTATGGAGTAGGCGCGTTCATGCTCCTGTTGATAAGCCAAGTCATAGTTATGGCGGCCAGCCGGGGCTTCTGCTGTGGCACCCTGGTGGCTCTAGGGCTTGCGCCGTCGTCCTCTTCCTTATCTGCTGGTACAACCACCACCTCACCTTTCATCTCCTCCATACATACATATATAGTCTTTTAATCTTGTACATGGTCCGCTTTTCTGATGGTATTACGCAAATCGGATATTTAAATGGTGTTCCATGCAATTCTACATGAATCTATAACCATATGAAATCTTGAATTTCATACATAAAATCTAGGGATCAAACCGATATTCATCACGATCTTTATCTTTTTCTTCTTCTTGTTGGTTTCCTAACTCGTTTTCTATTGGGGTTGGCTAGGGCGGGTACCCGTACTTTTGATACATTGTCTTGACCTCATCTCTGGATTTGAGATCCAAGTATCGCGGTTGAAAATAAATATTATGATACCCGAATTTATAAAAATTTCTAAAATTCCGTTGACTTAGTTTTAGGAGTATATTGGTAATTTTATTTAAAAATAACTAGATAATATTGTAAATGCATTAGAATAGTAGACTCATAGAATAAAATTTACTCTTACATACACGTACATATGAGTTAACTCGTCGTTGTTTTTCGAGGTAAATTTTCTATCTTTTTATGTATTTTTTTCTCCTTACAATATCTTTGATGTTCTAATCGATGTCAGATGTCGTGTAGTCTGAGTTTTTTGGTCTTGTTGCACCCGTTCTCGATCCCGTTCATCATAGCGAGTGCCTGTGACCGGGATACCCATAAGATCGGGTACCAGAACCCGCAGATCTTGGTTAAAAAGCCATTTTTAAGTGGGTGTAATTGTAATGTTTTCAATTGATGGGTTCGAAACAGATATAACGAATCTTTCTACTGGGCAGGATATTTTTCGTGATAGCGGAGATATGCTTAGTGGCCGGATCCATAACAAATGCGTACCACACAAAGTACAAAAGACCCTTCTTCGATGTTGCCCCGATCAACTGCCAAGTCATCCGTAAAGGAGTCTTTGCCACTGGAGCAGTCTTCACTCTCTTCACTTCCGTCGTCTCTCTCTCCTATTACCTCTCCTACTCTCGTGCCCTGTCCGATTACCGGCCACCACCCTCCGACCACTGATTAGGAATTTAATTGAATAACGAAAATGAAATGAAATAAAAACTATTATCTCGTTTTTTGTTTCTTAATATCCGGTTCACATTAGAGCATAATGTTATTGGATTATGCTTTTATTTTTTTTGTAACATACATTTGTATTGGTCTTTCTGAAGATGTCATCGGCAAAATGTGTTTGTTTGTTTGTTTATGTGTTGAAGTATATGTGAGCATGGACATGTTCGTAACCCTCTAATTAGGGGTGTCAAACGAGCTAGTTCGGATCAGTTTTGGTTCGGCTCATTTGATTCAGATCATTTTGGACTCAACTCGTTAGACGCATTTTCTAACGAGCCAGAAAAACCTCGTCTCGTATCGCTCATTAATATTTATTTCAAATTTAATGATAAATTAAAATAAATATCTAAAAAATAAATAAAACTTCAATATAATAAACTACATAAGAAAGCGTTAGTCGTGATTTCAAAAAATAGAAAAAATAATTTAACAATGGTTCAATAAAAAATAAATTAACAACCGTGGTGGCAACCACTGGCCCATGGTTTGCTCAACCAACGGGACTAGCGGAGAAGCCTAATGTCTCATCCAACTTACGTACAATGCATGCATTGCAAAGGACAATGCTCTTGGACATGTGGAATGCTATCTTGGATTCTTTCTTCATTTGGTCTTCAACAGATAATCGTAACAAAATATATTTCAATAATATTTTTATATTTATACTCTGATTTTCACTTAATATTTTCGATTATCGCCATGATAAATAATTAGGATATTTAGAATATCATATGAATTATATGAGAAAAAAGAGAAATATAAAGTTACGTTAGAATTTTTTTATATAAATTTAATTTAATTTTTTTAAAAAATCCAACTTGTTGTATGGCTCGCCAGCTCGAACTCGTTACGGCCATGAACTCAATGAACTGATTCGCAGACTCATTTTTAAATGAACTGAAAAATCACGGCTCAATTCGCTCGTTTTCTGGCGAGTTACGAGCTGGCTCGTGAACCGGACTCGTTTTGATACACCAATCTCTAATGGAAAACGTTGGTATATATCCAAATATATAGTATTTATAATAAACGTTATATAGTATTTATAAATTTTGCATTTTACCAAAAAAAAAATTATAGTATGTGAATCCATATATATCCAAATATTTTAGATATTATGTTTTAAAATTTTAATCTCATACATATGAATATCCATGGTGGTATCCGAACCTAGATTTTAGAAGATAATTTTATAAATTTTAGTAAATATCAGATATTTTAAAAATTTTAACCATATTATCGTGAAATCCGATTATGATAAACGGGCCGGGTTACCTATTGAGCCTACAAATATTATGGGCCTAAAAGGCATAAGCAAATACGACCCGTTTATGTTTCATTTACTTGTACAATTAGGAAACGTTGTCGTTTTGAGCTTTTCCGTTGCAATCCCTTTCTAAAACCCTAGCGAGCAATTTCTCTACACGAAGACGACAATGGGGAAGAAGCGAAAGCACAGCGAAACGGAAGCTCCGGCGCCGGAGAAGAAGAACGATGCCGCTCCGGAGAGACCCAAAAGAACGCTGTTGGGTTGGAAAGATCAGGATGCAGTCTCCGAGAAATCTGACCCTTCCTCTTCGTCTGTATTCAGGAACAAAGAGAAGGTTCTCGTCACTTGTTCCAGGCGGATCAATTTCAGGTGATTTATGTCGGGATTTGATTTGATTACTTGTTTTAGTTTCTGGGTGTTCCGTTTTTGGGCATGAAACTATCGAAGTTCTTTTTTCTGGGTTTTTGTTCGCAGGTACCGGCATCTGATGCTGAACATGGTCTCTCTGTTGCCTCACTGTAAGAAGGATAGTAAGGTGGAGGCTAAGAGCAGCAAAGGTGCGACTTTGAATGAGCTTGTCGAGCTCAAGGGTTGTTCTTCCTGTTTGTTTTTCGAGGTAAATTTTCTATCTTTTTATGTATTTTTTTCTCCTTACAATATCTTTGATGTTCTAATCGATGTCAGATGGCTTATCAAAATTTTGATTCATCCCGTTGATTTCGGATTTAATTTGCAATCACGTTGCCAGAGCACTCGCATGACTAATGAAAGCTTCTCGTTTTAAGTTGAAGTTTGGATCTTTTATATGTTCAACTTGTCTATGTGGTTTACATAAAAAACTTGTGTCTGTGCTTATCAATGCGTTTTTGTTTCTACGCTCTGTGAGTCATTTGTCTGGATTATTTTGTATTGGAACCGATTCTGGGATTTGGAACCTATTAGTTTATTCTGAAGAATCGATTCTCATTTTTTGATTTTTGTTTGCGATTACCCTTTTCGCATTTTCAGTGTAGGAAGCACCAAGACCTATACTTGTGGATGGTGAAGTCTCCAGAAGGACCGTCTGTGAAGTTCTTGGTTAATGCAGGTAGATTCACTTGTTCCTTGCTTGTAATTTTGTTATAGTTACGTAGCTGCTAGATCTAATGTGGTTCATCCACTATCATTTGGTCAAACCATTTCCTGTTTTGCTATATATTACTGTATTCTGAGTAATGTTTATGTATAACATTTCCGATATTGTGAAGTGCACACAATGGAGGAGCTTAAACTCACCGGAAATCATCTAAAAGGGTCGCGCCCTCTCTTGACATTCTCGTCCAATTTCGAGAAAGACGTGCACTGGAAGCTTTTGAAGGAGATGCTTATCCAGGTCATTGCCATACTCATACTCCTTGTTGAATGATTATTATTATCTATTCTTGGTTGGTTCCGCCAGTTTGGAATTATAGTCAGACCTCATAATATCCTAATGGGTTTATCTTTTTCTAACCAGATTTTTGGAACTCCAAAGGAACAGAGAAAATCCAAACCTTACCATGACCATGTGTTTGTTTTCTCCATTGTTGATGACCATATATGGTTCCGCAATTACCAGGTCTGTTTAGACATAGCATTTTAGAGAGAGCAAATGTTCCAACTTTGTTAGAGCTTTGGAGCTTTTAGTTTAACCTTTTAAGATGTGTGTGTTCTCTCTGATACAGATATCGGTTCCTCATAACGAATCAGACAAGATTGCACGAGGCGGACTGGATAAGATGACCCTTGTTGAGGTTTATGTCCAAGACTTGCAAAAACCTAAATGATTCATAAATAGGGCTCTGTCTCCTTCTGTTTCTCACTAGAACAAATATATATATCTTTATAACAGGTCGGTCCAAGGTTTTGTCTAAATCCAATTAAGATCTTCGGCGGCAGCTTTGGAGGTCCAACGCTCTACGAGAACCCATTTTATGTCTCACCAAACCAGGTATGCAGATTTGAATGCGAATCGATTCTGTACCATCTGCTTGAAACTTCTAATCATTTCCATTGGATAAATACATAAAAAAGGGCATAATCTGCTTCTGAAAACTTATTTTTCACATTTCTGATTCACCTTCATGGATCATATACCTTCTCTGACATGTTAATTTTCTCTAAATCCCTTGAGATCCGAGCAATGGAGAAGAGAAACAAAGCAGGGAAGTTTGCTAAGAAAGTAAAGGCCAAGACGAGGAGGAAGATGCATGAGCTATCAAACCCATTGGAGCCTGATGAGTTTGCAGACATGTGGAAGGATTGAATGATCCACATTTTTGTCTTCTGTTCTTTAACTATAATCTTTCTTCCCAGCTTCAAAAACACTTGTTATCAATCATTTGCATTCTTACAAATTACAGGATTGCCCAACAGAGTTCATGTATTCTCTTGTATTTCAGGGAAAAAAAGAGATTTTTTTTATTCATCAGGGTATTCTTACAAGAACGGACAAAGGTGAAACAAAACCACAGAACAAGAACAATGAAACATAAAATTAAAACTCGTGTTAGTCATCTCCCCTGAGATGCTAACGTGAGTTTGCGAGAGCCCAATTGGCTTCACTTCCTCTTCTTGGGATACTGTTTGTCTTCGAATACACATCCACTTTGAAATTTGCTCCACAGATAACGCCTTCACTGTCAATCCTCTGCATCGCTTTCATCTTGTTCGTTGGATGTTCAAAGCTCTTAAGCCCGATTTCGCTATGGAACATACACCCTGCAATACACAGACACAACACATCCACTTCAGATCTCACGAGTTTTATGGTGATGGCAGACTTTTGCTATGTGTTCTTCCTAGTATCTGATGTGTTTTACCAGTCGGGAAAGGAGCATAGGATTTAGAACAGCCTTGCTTTATGATATCGAGATTGTCGGAGATCACTACAGATCCATCTGATGCTAAACCCCAGTAGAGATTCACTCCTCCATCAGAGCTCTGTTTCAGAAACATGGCGGAATCAGAAAAATCGACATGTTTATAAAGTAAAGTTTCCACCTTTTTTTTTGCAATGTGAAAGTACCAGTGCTGCGAAAACAGTGGAGGTCTGGGTGTCGTAGATGATGAAAGCGAAGCTTCCGTCAAGATCCCTAAGGACCTGATCTGCTGGGTAAGGCCCACGGTCACGGAGAGTACGGTAAGCTTCGATCACGAGCATCGCATCGTTCGAAACTTTCCCGGAAAGTCCGTACTGCCGGTTCAACGAGCAGAGGTTGTTCAATCTTCCGAGGAACAAGCAGTAGATTCCTTCTACTCCACAGAACAACCTGAAAAAAATGTCAAGAATCAGGGATCGAGACACGGGTTTTTCGAGACGAGATCGATGGAATCGTGATCTGTGATGTGTTACCTCTGGTGAAGCGAGAAGCGTGTTCGGTCGGGACGGACGTAGGCGAGAGACGCGGCTTGGCCGAAGCTCATGGAGAAAGCGGTTTCCGGGTGGCGGGAGAGGAAATCGGAGAGGGTTTCGCCGGGAAGTTTCGCGGCCTTGCCGGAGAATTTAGACGCCGGAGAATTGAGTTCCTCCGGCGGATGAGCAAACGCCTTCTGAAATATCGCCAACATGTTTTTTTTTTAAATGATGTTCTGTCTAAAAAAAAGTGTTGAAGTGTTTTGGTTGTGAAGTAAAAGTTGTTGGGTCAGAGGGTATTTATAGCTTTCTTGGGGGTGAAAAAGAAAATTTATAATAAATTATACCGACGTGGATATGACTGTGATCAGATAAGAGTTCCCGGACTTCAACGTGGTCTTATCCATTTCTATTTCTTTTTTTTTTTTTTTTTTTTTAAAGAATATTTTTTATTGGGTATCTTTAGTAATAAATGGATTCACTTATTTCGTATCGACGTGGGATCCTCTTCTATGTGAAATTAGATCTGATCAAATTTGTCGTCAGAGTGATAATTTTGATTTATATGTTAAAAGTGAATTAAATAATGTAATCATATTTTATATCGTTTCACTCTGAATATATTTTATAATATCTTTTTAAAATAGATTTAAAACATAATCTCCAAACAAATTTCAAACGAATATATATACTTATAATATTTTTTTAAAAATTGAATGAATATATTTAAATAAAAAATAACTAAATTCAAAATATAAATCTAATTTATCATGTAGAAAAAAAGAAGAAAATTTAAAAAGAACGTTTTTTTTCCGGGATGTAGAATTTTCATTGATATTTTTTTCAGAGGTAAATTGTATCAGTTTAGCAATCTAATAATATTTTATGCCAATGTTAATCCAATATTTTATAACTAATAAAGGTCTTAACCTTTACAATTATATGGCGCTTAGAAGAAAAAAAAGCGATTATATCATGGATAATGTGCCACGTCAGATAAAAGAGTAATAAATTAATGTAAATTGATTATCATTTTGTTTTATGGTATTTTGTGATTTATATTTGACCAATTAAATTAAAGGGTAGAGGCGAGTCGCCTATTGACAACTCCATTCCATCCATTTGATCATAGATTATGGTAAGACATACAAAAATCAATGTTAAAAATAATATGAAAAAAAAATCAAGAACATTGTATTATTTCCTTATCCAAATAAAGAGAATATTGTCAATTTAATTCACGCGTCGCCGCATCACCATCTACGAGAAAGATTAAAAAAAAAAAAAGATTGAAGATATGGTTTCTTATCCAAAAAAAAAGATGAAAATTTCTTTATATAAAAAAATTGTGTTTGACCAGAAAATAGCTCTCTGTTTCCGTGAGATCTGTGGGCGAAGGTTTTCGAGAACTTTAATGTATTTAAATTTGTAATGGGCCCAAAATTGGATAAAAATATATGATAGGCCCATTTTACTTTTGGGTTTCTTTACAGCCCATTTTTCAGCCCATTATACCATTATCACATTTGCAGAAATGTTGGGGATATTTTGGAAATATTTGAAAGGTGTGGGGCGAATGTGGAAAATCCAGTAAATCTAAAAATTCTTCAAGGGCATTCACCAAGAAGCCACTGACAAGTAATAAGCGAAAACGTATTTAAAAAAAAAAAAACGAAGTCTCATGCAATCAAATTGGTCCCAACGGTACAAAAACACACACCAACAAAGTTAACACACGAACAGTTAAAACTGATGTCCGGTCCGGTCCGGTCTAGTTGATTGAGTTTAGCCGCTACCGCTGCCGCGGCCGCAATGGAGGAATATTTCAGTGGGTCGGAGGCAGTTACGGAGCGAGTCGTGGCCGAGCTGAGCCCGTTCGTTGTCTCCAAACCCGAACAAGCGTCCTCGCTGGGTGACGACGACTGTGTGGTACAAGCCGGTGCTGATCTGAGTGACACGGTGTGGTCGGAGACACTCAAGGACTCGTGGTCGGAGAACCTTGTCGGAGACTCCCTTGTCTGGGAATCCGAGGCTTCCAAATCCCATCCATCCGAATCCATACACCGATCCCCCTTCCAGCAGAACAAAGGTTTTCCTCTTCCTTGCACATACCTACAAATCGACGTCGAATTACATTATTCGGGAACCGTTAGTTTCAGTCGGAGTCGGAGTCGGGGTTCCTATTTGTTTTGTCGAATGAACTTAATCCGACGTATTTGATAATGTTTTAGAAACGACGAAAAGATATATAACGTTTGGATCATATTCAGAAATAGAGACGAGGGGAAAATGTCGGAAACTTAACCTGGACAGCGAGGTGGTTCTTAAGATTCTGCAAACACTGCGGGATCGTCTTGTCGTTCTCGTCCCCGTGCCCGAGAGCGCCACAGTAACCTTTTCCCCACGTATATACCTATACGAGAGATTGTACAGAACAATAAAATAACGGGTTAAAACGAGTATATATACAATAACATTTTCGTATCCATACCCAAACCCGAAATTTCAGGTTTTCCAATACTATTACCCGATCTTGGGTCTCATCTCTGGGTATCCGATGGGTCCCAACCCGCAGGTCGAGTCGGGTACAAATAATTCGGGTTCTTTCAACGAAGCCCTACTAGGGGTATAGAACTTACATGACCATTGGAGCCAAGAGCAACGGCATGCTCATCGCCTGCAGAGACACGGATTATGTGCAAACCCTTTCTTCTAAAGCTCTGAACAACTCGTGGCTCGAACTCGTCATGCTGCTCTCCGTGTCCGAGGCAGAAATTAGAACCAGACCCAAACGAGTAAACCGATCCATTCTCGGTTACAGCCAATACATAGCTCGGCCCAGCGGCAATTTGCACCACCGAGCCAATGCTCTCTAGCTGTTCCACCACTTTCGGTGTCAGTCTGTCCAGTGTGTCTCCATGGCCAAGCTGCCCATGCGTGTTTGTTCCGCACGTATACACACGCCCTTCCCTCGTCAGAAACACCGTGAAGTTCAGCCCAGCGGCGACCTGTCATTACGTGATTTTGTCGATGTTCGGGAGAAATACTACTATTCGTATATATCGAGTTATACGAGAAAACGAAGATATTATATCTTTTTTACCTGCTTACAAGGAATCCCTTTCAAAGCTTCAACAAGCCTTGGCCTAAATACCGGGCGGATAGTATCCCCATGGCCGCAACAGAACGACGAGTTATCCCCACACGTGAAGACCTGTTTTCGATAATGATCACGAGATCTTTGATTAGCGATTACGTTATCTTAAGACAGACTTCTCGTGAAAAGATAATAAAACATCAAACCTCTCCGGATTGCAATACAAAAGCAGCATGATTCTGGGAGGCCGAGACATGAACGACTTGGGCCGACGGGAACGGGAAACTAATGGGCGTAAATGCAACGCATTGAGTAGTTTCGGGTCCATGACCAAGAACCCCACACAAACTCGAACCGCATGAATAAACCTTGGAGTTGCATATTAGCAGCGTGTGGTATCTCCCCGTCGTGATTTGCATCTGCATAAACCGAAAAAAAGACGGTCATGGATCAGATTATGCAGGAAAGACAGATCAAAATTCATCCTAGAACTTTCTAAATCAAGAAACCATATAGAATTCATACTTAGCAAGAACATCTCATTGCAGGAACTACCAGAATATCATATACTAAGTGACTGATAAATGAACTGCAACTACATTGTATGAGATATTCAAAATTATGAAATCGGGTTTACAGGTGAAAGCATTACATTGCCTGTGGAGGTTTCGACCATATCCGAGGCCATTTCAACCGACTGCAGAAACCCCAAAAGCCGCTTCCAGTTGCCATCGCAACGGGCAAAGAGCTCTTTCCGACTATCCAAACTCATCCCGGCATAGATAGGATTCACGGAGCAAAGCTGAGCTGCCGCGAAATCCACGAGCGACCGGAATTTCAAAGGGTATAACCCGTGGCTCACTCCGAAAATCTTGGAGGTCATTTCGAGTCTGACAAGATCTAATGCACTAAGCCGACCAGATGTCAATACCTCCAAGACCAAATGGGAAGGAAGATCCTCAAACGAAATCAACCTAAACCTGTCTGCCATTTCTTTATCTTCTAAAAACGCTCCAGCACAAACTTCTTGTGTATTCACCACAAAACAAAAGGGTCGAATCAAACTGAACAACACTGAATTTGAGGAACTTGCAGCTACGAGATGTTGTAGGGACAGGGATTCGAGCTTTAAGGGATCGGTAACGCAAAAGGGTCAAATTTTTAGGCGAAATCTAGAGCAATTGAAGTAACGTATAAAGAACACGTCGGACGGCAGAAAGAGGTAGGTGATCGAATAGAAGAACGGAGTTTTAGATGCGAATTTCACGGTTCGTCGATTCGGTGATCGAAGACTAATCATGAGATGGATCAGATCGCCAAATAATTCTTCCAAATACCCTGCAAAAGTTTCCCCAGAAAAGCAGAAAGCATCACCACCAATCAACCGAAACAAGACCCAGAATTTAGCAGCGGAATTGGAGAAAGGTTGGAACTGATACCGTGCTGCGGAAATCGAAACTAGGGCAAGAGCGAGAAATCGAGATGAAACCCCCCAAAAAGGAAGAGAGCTTAAATGGGGGAGAAATACTTACCTGGAAAGCAAAAGAAGAGGTTCTTGACTTTTTCGGAGCCGAATTGAAATCCACGGAAATCTCCCACTAAAGAAATGAAGCTATAATATATAAATATATAATTGAGAAGAAATCGTGTGAACAAAAGAGAGAGAGAGAGAATTGTTTGTGAAGCTTCTTCTATGGCGACATTTCCTCCCTGTCAGAGAGAGACAGAAGAATCTTGGGCTTGGTCGTGTTGAAGCTGCTCTTTGCTGATTTCAATATTTTATTGCACTTCTTATTGCCATAATCTTTAATTTGTCTTTTTATTGGTAAACAAATATTTGATGTCTTAATTTATTTTATTTTATGAAGGGTACTCTTTTGTTTCTCGTTTCCAATCCTTTAAAAAGGTTTTCCCCCCTAATTAAATTGTATAAAGATTTAAGTGTTCATAACGTTAGGGCTGAGCGTTTTAACCCGTAACCCGGGGGTTTGGAGGTACCTGGTTTAACAAGTACCCGAATAAAGGATACTCGAATATTAACGATGATGAGATCGAGTATTAATAAGACTAAATTTTCGACCCCCGAGTCCGAATGGGGGTTCAATTATTTTACAAAGGGTACCCGGGGTACCCGATATATTTGTTAAAAATCTAAAATATACTTTATATATATAATATTTTTGTCTAAATTATTCTTATTATTTATTAAAATACTTTTATTTTAGTTCAATTTTTTTTATGTTCTAAACCTTTCTATACATTTCATCATTCCAAATCTCATTCTATGTAACCGAATCAACCATTCATCTATCTCACAAAATTTTACTCATCTTCCTTCATCGTGAATTTTTCTCTTTATACTTTGACCTCTCTCATTTGTATTTTCTATATCTATCATTTTATAGTTCAAAATTTTATAAATCGTATGGGTCCGGGTACCCGCGAGTACAAAACCGAGAATCTCATTAAACCCGAACTACAAGTACCCGGATTTTATGAAGCCAAGATTGAGATAATATTTTTGTAAAACCCGTGGTAATGAAGACGAGACAGGGTTTTCTAAAAATTGGGGGTATCCGACCCGTGCCCACTGATGCGTCGCGAACTAGGTTCGGATTTATCTAGTTTTAATTTCCTAGACACGACTTCCGCAAGCATACGGGTCAGTTATAGTACCTAGGGTCGAACTCTGGGGACTCGTCGGGAATCACCGGAACACAAATAAACACACTCACTAGCTATGCGGTTTGGATTTTCTACTCGGTTTCGGTCGGTGGCGATAATGTGGTGGTGGTGACACTAAATCCTAATGCAGGAAATGTAAAGGGTGGATATATATATGGAAGATAGATATCATGGGTCTAAGAATTCTAGGTTGTATAAGAATTATTTTTACGGGTTACTTATCATTTCACTGGCTTGGTTTGGAAAATTCAAGGTCATTTATCGAAGATTACCCTCTCGGGTCTCACCTCTCTTCTTAGACACCTACAATCTACCGATCTCTCGATTCCTAATAGATTGAAGATTCTAAAAGCATGGAGATTCCTATCATAATTTCTAGACAAATTCTTTTATTTTCCAATAGTGATAATCATCTATATGTCACCTTTTCTAGATGATATCTCTATTTTCTGATGCAAGTTTTGTCTATTCGGGTAAATAGTTTCCAGGTTTAATTTCATATCACTATGTAAATTAAACCCTAAAATCATACAATTCAAGTGATTAGCAAGAATTGATATATTAAGAATCATTCACTCAAACCAAATATCAAACCAGTAATAATCAAAATACCCACACATAAATAAATCCTTAATACAAATTTAAATTCAAAACCTCATGACGGGAGTTCAACACACAAACACAACCAGAGAGAATAACAAGATATCGCACGGAAAAATCCCAGAGAAAGAATAGAGAGAGTTAGAGAGGCTTAGGAGTTATACAGACATATTATCATAAAATACTACGACTATCGATGATGGATATAATGCATGGAAAATGGAGTGGAGAAGAAGTTCTTAACTAATGGACCTTTCTTCGTCGGATGTGTTCGTTTTGCTTCTCTCAATTCAAGTTCTCTTGCGTTTGTGCAACTCCCTGCTTTTTAAACAAAAATAAAAATTTACATAAATTGGCTCTATCCTCTACTTCTCCTTTTAATGAATGCCCGCTCGAGTGAACATCGTTGTCTCCTTTCTTTTAGCTCAGCGCAAATCAAGGAAAGTCTGTTTTTTTTGTCGGCCGATAAAACAATTGTGCACTCTTGTTTGGCCATTTGTGAGTACGTGGGTCCGGTGGAGGTTAAAAACAATCGTGCGATTGTGAATAACAATTGCTCGATCGTTGAGTTACTACTATTATTACAATATATTATATACATATATATTATACATAATACACATATACATACATGTATTAGATGTATATATCTATTATACATATAAAAACATATCCATACATAAATCTAATATATATACGGATATATATATATATAATATGCAAATATAAATAACGTACACATATACACATATTTATATAATAATATATATACATCCGCTAACATATATATATTATAATATTATATATATCCACTAACATATATATTATTATATATATTTCCACTAACATATATATATATATTATATTCACTAACATATATTATTATATCGTGTATTATGTATATGTTCGATTGTGCGATCGTAACAACGATCGCGCGATCTTGTGTTTTTTTGTTTTTTGTTTTATTAAACCAGACCAATTTTATACTCATTTGTTTTCCATTCGATTTTCTTGAAATTGCGTCGTTTAAACTCAAATCTCCAATTTTCCTGCAAAACAATATAAACAACGAAATCGAAGTAAAACTGTACAAATGATATCTATTAATGTATAAATAACGTAAAACTCGATAGATATCTTAAATTAAAATATAATGTTATTTACATGTTATCAAACACCCCTAGTATTGCTCTTTATACGGTGAAAATTAAGGTTTCTTGTTTATTTAAAATAGTGAAAGGAATTTAGATTATATTCGAATTCAGTTAAAAGAAATATTTTATTTAACTGAAAATATATTGCTGAATTAATTGCGAACTTTGCTAATATTTTATTGTATGGGCCAAACTAAATCGTTAGTCTTATTTAGGCCTACGACATGAGAGTAAGCCCATAATAAAAGTCAACAGGAGACCCCAAACCCGCAATTCTCATTTCAAGTCGTTTCTGATTAATCGTCAAAAACCCTAGCGAGCCAGCAACCGTCTCTCTCTCTCTCTGATCGAGCATTGGAGAGAGAAACTCGAAATGGTGAAGAGGGAGAAGAAAGCTAATGTTTCCGGGAGACCGAAGCATTCGCTCGACGCGAATCGTTCAGATGGGAAGAAGAAGAGCGGCAATGGCCGTAGCGCCGCCACCGTCCGGCGGCTGAAGATGTACAACACCAGGCCGACGCGCGACACCGGCGGCAAAATCGTCAGCGACGAGTTCCAGTCGAAGGAGTTGCCGAACACGAGAATTCAACCCGATCGGAGATGGTTTGGTGCGTCTTTGAGTCAATTGGGTGTTTTTTCTTCGATTCATATTGTTAGAATCGAAGAGGATACTCCATGGATTTGTATGCGTCTTCACCGGACTTCAATTTCGGGTATTTGATGTTTTGGGTAGGCAATACGCGAGTTGTGAATCAGAAAGAGCTGGAATTTTTCAGGGAAGAGCTGCAAAGTAGGATGTCAAGTAATTACAATGTGATCTTGAAGGAGAAGAAGTTGCCTCTCTCCCTTTTATCTGATCACCGAAAGGTAAAGGCTTTGTCTTGTCGAACTAGACCGTCGGAAACTCTGCTCCTTGTCTAAATTCTTCATTTTTTTTTCTCTTTCGGGTGTGGGTTTTTGGTTGTTCTGTAGCAATCAAGAGTTCACCTCCTTGATATGGAGCCCTTCGGAGATGCATTTGGACCGAAGACCAAAAGGAAACGCCCGAAGCTTGTGGCTTCTGACTACGAAGCATTGGTGAAGAAGGCAGATGAGTCTCAAGGTGAATATAATGTTTGAACATCAATCTTTAGTTAGATATTTGAGTTATGACATAGCTTTTCCTTCTTGGAAGATGCATATGAGCAGAAGTATGGAGCGAGTACTTCTTCTGGACAAGGAGAAGAAGAAGACGGGTTCAGGGACCTGGTCAGGCACACCATGTTTGAAAAGGGCCAGAGCAAACGCATATGGGGTGAGCTGTACAAAGTCATAGACTCTTCAGATGTTGTTGTCCAGGTACGATGTCTCTAACTAAGAACTCAGTCCATTGCAGAACCATCCTTGTTTTATTTTCTAAACTCACTTGTTCTTGTGTTTCAGGTTTTGGATGCTAGGGATCCACAAGGAACAAGGTGTTACCACTTAGAAAAAACTTTGAAAGAGCATCACAAGCACAAACACATGATTCTCTTGTTGAACAAGGTTGGCTGTTTTTTTTTCTCTTCAAAACCCGGCTGTATGAACGTGCCTGCCTATTCTTGTTCATGCTAACCCTATTTGGATTTCTGTGTTTTCTTTTCCTCGAAGTGTGATCTTGTGCCGGCTTGGGCTACAAAAGGATGGTTGAGGGTGTTATCTAAGGAATATCCAACTCTAGCATTTCATGCAAGCATCAATAAGTCATTTGGAAAGGTACATCACTCATTATCCATAGTCTCGAGCCGCCTATGAACTCTTGATTTTTTTTTCTTTGAAGTTTTTGTATCAGCTTTTTGACTTTTTTGGTGCCTGCTTTGTCAGTGTAGCTGATATTTGCCGCTGCTGAAATGGTTGTCCTTTCAGGGTTCTCTGCTCTCAGTATTGAGGCAGTTTGCACGTCTAAAAAGTGACAAGCAAGCCATATCGGTGGGATTCGTTGGGTACCCGAATGTTGGAAAATCATCAGTGATCAACACTTTACGCACTAAAAACGTAAGACCCTCGTTTACTAAGTTCTGATATCTAGAGCTTTATATTTCCAATCTGCATCCCTTTTCATATTTCCTACCTCTCAGGTTTGCAAGGTTGCTCCCATTCCAGGGGAAACCAAGGTCTGGCAATACATCACACTCACTAAGAGGATATTCTTGATCGATTGTCCTGGAGTTGTTTACCAGAGCCGCGATACTGAGACAGATATTGTTCTTAAGGGTGTGGTATGTTTCTCATATCCATGTCTACGTTTCCATTATTAAGAATGATGTATGTTCACATCTCTCCAATGGGAAATGATTCCTGTTGCTGTTTCTTATGGCTGCGGCGAAAAAAAAACAAATTGATCTGAAACCTAAATCCAGATTCTCTATGGTTTCAGCAAATATTGTGTTATTCTGGATCCAGGTGCGGGTTACAAACCTGGAGGATGCAGCTGAACACATTGGAGAAGTTCTGAAGCGTGTGAAAAAAGAGCACCTGCAGAGAGCATACAAAATTAAAGACTGGTGAGCTACTTGTTCGTGTTCTTCATTGGCTCCTACTTTCCGGAAGAAGCCTGTTTCTTCGTTAAATCGACCTTACGAGTTTCCCACACCATGAATTTTCAGGGAGGATGATAATGACTTTCTGGTTCAGCTATGCAAGGCAACAGGCAAATTGTTAAGGGTGTGTTTCTATACTATAAATTTATAGGCATGTGGGCTCTTATGATGCGCTTTTGTTGCAATAAACCATGTATGTTAAACCGTGTTATGATGATTATGATGATGTACAGGGTGGGGAAGCTGACCTGATGACCGGAGCAAAGATGATACTCCATGATTGGCAGAGAGGTCGGATACCTTTCTTTGTCCCGCCTCCTAAGCAAGAAACCGAAACTTCAGAACTCACCGTGTATGGTTTAGACAATGAGGCCGTAGCAGATAACACTCAAGCCACCGCAGCATTCAAAGCCATCGCCAACATCATGTCTTCGCAACAACAGAAAACTGTTCCTGTCCAAAAGGACCTCTATGATGAGAATGAACTCAAGGATGACAAAGCTAAGCACTCACCTGAATCCAAGGACAATGGAAAAGAGACCGATCATCTCGAACTGGAAGCTAAAGAAGTGTCGTCGGGAAACGAAGATGAGGAAGATGAAGTCTCTTCCGAAAATGGAGAAGAGAACTGATAGGAGACTGCAACTGCAGATTTTTGTAGCTTCTGATAAATTTTCGCTGTGGTAATGCATAAAGTTCAAGACACTTCGTTTGTAAACTTCCGACGAAGCTTTTATTAATCACCATTACAATACATTTTGAGAGTTTATTAGAATCTTGTATGTGTCATCGTCATCGCCCAAAGTCCGCCGCGGAGGTTAGACTTGAATCTCTGGCTGCGAGATGGGTGCGTCAGCTTCTCCCATCATCTGATGATTACCGTTCTCGGCCGTGGTTGTGGTGGTTTTGTCTGTCGAGTCGTGCTTGTTCTGCGCTGTGTTATATGGCGGACAGTACCCGCTGCAGGGCGGGGTGTAAACTGGAGCACAGCTAGTGCAACCTCCGATGCCTGGAACTGTGACCCCGGGGATCTGGAAACCGGGAATGGTTGTCCCGGGGACAACCACACCAGGGATCGTGAAGCCGGGAACTGATACTCCCGGGATAGTAGGGCCGCCCGAGCCAATACCGATGCCCTCTCCGAAACCTCCGCTCCCGCCCTGTCCAATACCCTCTCCAAAACCTCCGCTTCCACCCTGTCCGATTCCTATGCCGATTCCACTGCCTCCTCCGGGTCCCATGACGCCTGGACCGCATTCCGGTTCGACAGGTCCGGATCCGAATCCTTCTCCAATTCCGATACCAGAGCCACCTCCTGACCCGAACCCTTCTCCAATGCCGACACCCGATCCTCGGTTATAACCAGATCCCATTCCTCTT